AAGCTTTTAGTTTGAGCTCTTATTCTTGTATATAATTTATATTTATTTGTTTTTATACAAATTAAGCTTTTATAACTATATAATTGCTTATATAAATTAGTTAATAAAGATATAAGAAAGACCTCACCTTAATACTAAAAAAAAAACAAAAAAACAAAAAAAAGAATTTTTAGTATTTTGTAGTTTTGGTTAATACCAATTTTTTAATCTATTTTATTATAAAATTTCAAAATTTTTGAAACCTTTTGTTAAAGTTTTTTTTGGGATTAGGTTAAGATTTGAGGTTAGTATTGTTAGGGATTCTAAAAATTAGCATTAACCATAATAGTTAGTTTGTAATATACAGTATATATAAACTTTTTTGCTATATATTTCATAATATATTATATAAGTCTAAAAGTAAACAACCCTTAAAAAAATAAGCAATACTTTAGTTTTAAATATTAAAATACTAAAAAATAAAAATAAGCAACTCTTGTAAATAAAATAGATAGAATTAAGTATTTCAAAGTTACTAAATTTAAGCAATCCTTTAAAAAATTTGGCTAAAATAGATAGCTTAAAGAATTAAAACTTATACTATATATTGAAATTTATTATATATATGTAGTATAGTAATATATTAGCAATATATTAGTATTTTAAAATTTTATTAAGTAACTCTATGTAATTTCTAATTATAGTACAAATCTGATTCTACCAATAGAATTCTTGATATCGATTTTTTTAATATAGTTTTTACTATTTGTCAATTGGATTAATAGTTAACAAGTTATTAAGATTTAAAGATATTTAACTATATATAGAAGATAATGAATAACAATTTGTCACTTCTATAATGCAGACCCATTAGTACAAACCTGTTGGTATAAACCTGTTGACACAGATTTATTAGTATAGACCCATTGACACAGACCTGTAATACAGACCTATTGATACAAAATATAATTTGTTCTTATATAAAGTTTTAAAAAATATAAAAATCTTGTTTTTTATTAATTAAAAACAAGGCTGATTTTCTAAGAACAATTAATAATTATTTAATATTCCATAGAAATATTAAAAACTGTAAGCTGCTATGGCAAGAGGTGCTTATATATCAAATTACAGATTTGCAAAACAGATTTAACAAGTTAGAGACTGACAATACATCAATGCTAATAAAAATTAAACAAGATTGTCAACTAGCAGGACTTACTACAAACCCTTGACAAGAGGTTTTAACTATAAAAGACTTAAGAATATAACAAAACAATCTTAATTGCCAAATTCTTTATAAGACAAAAGAACTAAATATAAAAATAAAAACAGCACAAGATCTTTGGCAAATTCATGGTTTTGGTTTATAGTTTAGAGATATACTTATAGCAAAAGTCTTTTTGAAAAATGTTAAGAGTTTGAGAAGCTTGGGTATTGTTTACCTTAATCAACTTATTAATACTGAGAGTAATAAACTACACACATGGCAACAGACTAAACTACTTAGAGGGAAAGTTAGTAAAGACAAAATAGCAAGCTAGTATAAAGCAATCGAGCGCTTAACACTAGCTAACAAAAAAGAAAGATTAATTAAATCAGAATACCAAATACCTGGCCATAACAGAATAGCTCTGCTACTTCCTAAATGCCAAATGAAAAAGGACAAAAGAACCAAAGAACAGATTTTTACAAGTATGAACAAAGAGAATCTAGGCTTCTAAAGAGTAGTGAAGAAAAAAGATAAACAAGTCTTAGTTGAGTATTGGCAAGAAAAAAATATAGTTATAGAAAATAGTAGAGAATTTTAGCTAATAAAAAAATGTAAGGGCTGCTAATTAAACTTGTACAAACATAATAATAGTTGCCAAAAATAGTTGAGATATGAAAAGATTTAAGAGGTGCTGCCAGGTATTTAAACCAAAGAGAACAAAAAATTATCTCTCTTTTTAGAAGAATTTTTAAAGAAGATGCAGCAACTAGATGAATTAAAGACAGACAAAATTTTACTACTGCTATCAATACAGCTTGAAGAAATATTAGAGGCACAGTTAATAAAGAAGCAGAAGTTTGGTAAAATGGTACCAGACAATTTACTTAAGGTATTGGATAAAAACAAAATATCTAGTAATAGGATATTTGTATTTTATATAGATAGTTTACTGGTCCATACAAATAGGAATAGTATAATGAAAGCAGGTTTGGGTTCAAATTAATGAAGGTTTATAGCAGAAGGTAATATTAGATTAGATTGTTGGCTATTATTCACAAAGCCAAAACTTACAGCAATCTGGTAAGCCCTTTTCACAGTTTTATTAAATAGTAAAGTAATAATCTACACAGACAGTGCAGTAGCGATTGCAAGTATTAGAAAGATAGAAGATAACTAGAGAGGTTACAATTAGTCTAAAAGTAATAACTTTCTACTATTAGCCAAAATTTCAGATCTAACCAGACTAAAAAACTTGAACTTAGTGCTTGAAAAAGTTAAAAAGTATAGTAACAATAAATAGAATAATAAAGCAGATAAAGTAGCAAAAGAAGCATTATTATTACAAGAAAAAAAAAAATTTATTCACTACAAAGTACTAGATTTAAAGCATTATTGTACTAGAAAAATACAATAGTCAAGGGCCCATTAAGAAAGGTTCTAAAAAACCCCTTCAATCTATGGAATAAAGCCAACTGGTCACAAACAAAAGCAATCTCAGGATTGGAAAATGCAGAAGATATTCTAATATATAATTGGCAGTTATACTGGAAGCAGACCAAAAGACAAACTGAAGTTAAATATATTTTATTAGTGCAAAGCAAGAAGTTTTCAACCAGAATTAAAAGCCTTATAGACAAACTTCCACTACTAGTAGAGGTCAAAAGAAGACGATACAACTTGTACCAAGAAGATCTTTGTATATTATGCAAGCTAAAGAAGAAAGAGACTCTTGAACACTTGCAGAATGCATAGCTCTAGAATTTGAATAGAGAAATATCGAAGCAGTTGTGACAAAATTAATTTGGATAAAGTTAAAAAAGATATATAGAAGAAAGATTAGCAAGCCAAGTTTAGCTAATTTCTTGTTCAGGGAAACAAAAGCTGAAAAGGTACAAATCAGAACCGAGATAGCAAGAGAGTTAACATGAAACGAACTTTATAATAGTCTTATTTGTATCTTCAAATTGAACAAGATCGCAAAATTGGTTTTAGACTAGTTTATATCAATTTTTTTAGAATCTTTTTTATGACTTTATTTGAAAATTCAGATATACAAAGATAGTAGATTGGGAAATCTCATTAGGAATTATACGTAGTACTAAAGTTAGAAAAAAGTCAGACTCTACAAATCATAACAAGAACTTTGAAGCAAAAGAAAAACATCAAATATCTAAAAACTTGACTAGAGAAGATGAAGAGTCACAAAAGAAAATTGTAGATGAAAAATAGAGTACAGCAGTTTTTAGTCTAATCTGAAAGGATATAACTCTCTTTTGGACTTCCCTTTGAAACAGGGCTAATTCAGACTCTAGACAGGACCCCGAAATATCTATAGATAGTTAAAGTTTTACCAAAAACCCTAACAAATTACTAAAAAAAGAAAGATCTGCAGAAAAAAAGCTAAAAATAAGCATTATGTTTTACTAAAAAAGGAAAAAATCTTTACAAAAATAGCTAAAAATAAGCAAAAAAATATCTGATCTATCTATATATATTTTGGGGTTCTCTCTGGACTCTTTGGAGCCTAGTGTGATAAGTTGCATTTGAGTTTTAGGCTTGGATGATATTGAACTTAGTTTAGTCTTAGAACTTTAAAATATATATTTTCTTATTAAATATATAATAAAACTAAGAGATTAAGTTTTGGCAAGACCTGTCTAAAAGGAAAAAAAAACATTGTCTTTTTGCCTAAGGCAAAAAAAGGTTCTGCCAAGTCTTAACTTGTATTTTTCTAACTATTCTCTAATAAATAAATATTATTTTTTTCACTATATACTTGTTATATTATATACTCTCTTTTATTGTCTTTTTGTTATACTTTATTGTTTTTTTTTTATTACTTTTTATCTTGATTTTATTGTCTTTTATTGTCTTTTCTTACTACTTTTTATCTTAAGTTTATTATTTTTTTTAGAGTTTTTTTTTTTATCTTCTATATTTTTATACTATATATTTTATATTCTTTGCTTTTAGTTTTCTTTTCTTTCTTCTCTTCTTTTCTCTTTTATTCATATTCTTTATCTCTTATATGTTAAATCAAATGGCATAGTTAACAAGGCTAGTTATTTATACTACAATATACTGTATACTGTATATATATTGATATTAGTATAACATTAAGGTTGCACCTCAACTAATAAAATCAAATAGCAATATGTTTATTTAATGATTTAAATTTACACAAATTTTTAGATTATATAACATATATTTTAAATAAATTTTATAAAAAAAAAGTAATTATATCTAATGAATAAATTTTTTTTTTATTAACAAATAGAAAATTGAAGTTTATTTTATTGAAATTTGGACCTTTAAGCATTAATTCCACTTTTATAGAACTAACAAATTTGCAATATTTATAAAGTAGTTAGACTTTAAAAATAGCAAATTTAATATATTAAACTATTATTTTTAAAACCTAATTATTTTGTCAATATAATGAATTTTTTAATTTTGTAAAGTGTAAATAGCTTTTTAAAAAACAAATTTTAATAAAATACACTTTAATCTTTGATAGCTATAGAAAAATTTTGTGCGATTAATAAAAACAAAAAGTTAATATATTAAAAATTATCATTTTTAAAACCTAACTACTTCTTTAATATTATGAATTTTCAATTTTGTAAAGTGTAAATAGTATTTAAAAAATTAAATTTTAATAAAATTTTTAATAGCTATAAAAAAAATTTGAGCAATCACTGATAATTAAAACATTAAATTATGAGTAAATATAAAGTTATAATAATTTGTAACCGGAACAATTTATGATAAAATTGATACTATATATATTATAACTTGAAAAACAGCATATTTATTCTCTAGAAAATTCCTATTTATTGGAACAAAATTTGCAACCTAATTATTTAATAAAATGTTCAAATAATTATATATTTTATATAACTTTTTTTTTTTATAATTTCCCGATGTTATTCACTTCGGAGTGTGTACTTTAAATTTTGTGTAACTTAAAATCTGCCAATATGAAAATCATAGTCAATAATTTTACGTTACACCTAATCGTGCAATCTGATTGGCTTCTATATTATTCGTGTAGATACACCTGGAATCACGAGTGGTCACGAGTAAATTGTAACTGGTGGATAATGAGATGTTAAAAGTCCTCATAAATGGGTAAAACAATTAAGCGGATTAGTTTTAATGCATAATTTCTTATTTAGTAAAGTAAAATCCCTCGCTATCGTTAAATCGATTATTATATATTTATTAATTTGATTTATTGAATTAAAAACACTAATCACCATACAGATTGACAAGTAATTCGAACGCAAAAGAAGTAAAATATATGTTTTCTTTTAGAAAAGCAATTTTTTCTCTACTAATGACAAGTGTAACTAAATATTAACTTTTAAAAACTGAATACGAAAGAGAAATCTATTCGTAAGACATCAAAGGCTGCTTTATTATAAGTCAAAAATTCAACAAGAACAAGCATTTTGGGCTACAGGACGATTCAAATCAACGCCTCTTTGATTTAAATTGGTTCCTCGTGCACGTGAATTAGCGGCTAATTGATCAAGTGGCATTTTTCTCGCTATGCATAATATATCAAAACATAAAAAAGACGCAATTAAATAAATTGTAAAGAATTATTAGTAAAATGAAAAATAATATTAAAATTTAGACACACCTATTGATGTAAATAGTTCGTTAACATTGGTGGATGTTTTTGCCGATGTTTCGAAAAAACAAGAGATCAGCATCTGTCGCATAATTTTGTGCCGTCTAATATACAAACACGATATTAAATTTATCGATCGAATTATATGATATAAATTAAAAATAGATCTGTTACCTCAGTATCAATTACTCTACGTGCGCTCAAATCACATTTATTACCGGCGAGTGCAATGACAATATTTGGGTCAGCTTGTCTTTTCAATTCATTCACCCAAGATTTAGCTTTTTCCAAAGACGACTGATTTCGCAGAAGAAAGAAGAGAATTGATAAATAATATACAATTCATATATTATATAAAATAATACGAATACATACTGGTTGAGTTATGTCATAAACTACTACGGCACAATTTGCATTTCTGTAATACATTGGCGCCAAGCTCTGTTTCACATAAAAAAATGAATAGAGTAAGTCCTGAAACAAGGATCACGTCATTAATTTGAACCAAAAGAATAATGGATTTATGATATAACCTTATAACGCTCTTGTCCTGCTGTATCCCTAATAATGAGATATAATATTTATAATATATGGAAAAGACGTTGAATAAAGAACCATGAATATACACGCAACGCACCAGATTTCGAATTTAACAGTTGTGTTTTCATCCAAAGCAATTGTCTGTGTTAGAAATGCGGCTATGTAATAAGTAATAAATTAATTAGTTATTTTGTTATGTGGTTAACTAGGCGTTAACGAAAGAGAATAATAAAGGACCTTACCTCCGATAGTGCTTTCTCTATAGTCATCAAATTGGTCCTTGACAAAGCGCAATACTAAGCTAGAATATATTATTAATTTTAGATAAGAATATTAGATAAAAGTATTTATAAAGATAATAATGATAAATTGGAAAAATTAGGTGGGTACTAATATAATGTTAAGAAAAAAGCCCATAATATTAAAGTTTATAATGGCTTGAAATTTCCAGCTTTGTTTGAGTCTAAAGCGGTCGGTATCAAAGAGATTGAATATACAATAAGAGTAAAGGGTTTTTGCTCTAATATTTAAAAAAATCACGAGAAAAAACTAACCTTGATTTGCCAACCGCTGATTCACCTGTAATAATTATGAGAAGAAACCGGACAAAAGAAGAAGCCGGACAAAAGAAAAAGCAAAATCAAGGGAGAGTCAGTACAAATAGATGATAAATAAAAAAAGAGGTAATGTAAAATAGTCCAAGGCGCCACATAGTAGGATATGACAGGCATCAAAGCTATTCTGTAAGATCGCAATGTTTGGTGTCAAAGTTATATACTTAAGAATTTTAGTCATACCTAATAAAACGAGCTTAAACTGGAACAATTTGCCAGGAGCTTGAGAGTTGTGTCTATTACCTGGGGCAGACATTGCAGTTTTAGGGTATTAGTACAAATGTTTCAATGTGGTGTAGGTCTAAGGAAGAATTAAGTCTGCGGCTAATATCAATATGTTTAACGTTAACAAAATGGATCAAATGATAATGACTTAGCTGTTAGTACGTACGTACGTATGTACGTACATACCTAATACCAGATACGTACCTTGTACATTGTGCCAGGTACGTGCAGGCATTTACTCGTTACCAGTAATCAGCAATCGGAAGTTTTAGGCTGCACAAACCGATCTCAAAATACAGAAATATATATAATCCCTATTACTCAGCTTGAGAGGCTGAATTTTTCATCAAATTTTTCAATCTTCATCGCTTTGTTTTAAAAAAGGACGCTCAACAAATAGTAGGGGAAGTTTGTTGAGGTTTTGGGGATAATTCATAAAATTAAAAAATAAACTTTATTATTTAATATATTTTTTAAAATAAAATATTCTCGCCATCCTTATTTGGCAATACAAAGTACGGCAAAGAAAAAGTTAGAAAATTGACTTTTTAAATCATAATGTCGTCTTCGATAACACCTTTTTATCGTCCTGGAGTGTTTCCTGCCTTATCCTCTCGTCTCCTCACTACTGCCTCTCAATCACTTCGAGCGGCTATTCAACAACAGCTTATACTTAAAAAGTTTTTACAATACACCTTTACGTGTTACTGGCCTACCACTAACCACAACCAAAGGTTTCACTTATTTGATATCGGCTTCATGGCACCCGAAAAAAAGACGAAGTTCAGTTCCTATAGCTAATAGCAACCCTTGGTTGAAAGAACGCATGAAGGTTGGAAAAGTTGATGCTGGAGAAGATGCTTTTTTCTATGTAGGGACAAATGAAGGAGTAGCTTTAGGAGTTGCGGATGGCGTCGGTGGCTGGACTCAAGTATGTGGTTATATAAAATTAATAAATATATTCAAAAAAAAACTCATTAGTAGTTTGAGCTCTTAGAAGGTTACAAATATAAATATTATATAACTTTTTTTAATAATAATAGATGGGTATAGATCCAGCTACGTTTTCATGGGCATTAATGGACAATGCTGCAAGTATCGCAAAAGAATTTAGTTCATATAAACTTCCATTATTTAATGCACCCAATGGGTCTACTGATATTTTGGATGCAAAAGAAATATTAAATGGTGCATTCGACAAATTGATAAAGAGTGGAAAAGTTAAAGCCGGTTAGTACATTATTTCTTTTACAATTAATGTCTTACTTTATTTCAAACCAAAAATCTAATTTTTTTTTTTTT